TTTGCTGTTCTGGCAATACATAAATATATGTAAGTTACGTACATGGGGAGGCTAGATTATTTACAGCTCACAGCAAAATAGTGCAAATATTATGTTCAATAAAAGAAAACGTTGATAGATCTATAACACACTTTTTGTACTATTAAACCAACTGTGGACTTTTAAGACATTTTCGCTTATTGTAATAACATCTAGCTAACCAATCATGTCTATCTGTGAAATCCACAAGCATAGTTGCTGTCAAACCTAAAAAACATATTCAGGGAGGTCAGTTTTGATTTGCCAAGCACCTTAAGGTGAGTTTATTTTTAAACTGTCAAAAGCGATTGTCCCTTCAATACTAGTATATGTCTGGAAGCTGTCTCTCGGACTGTTATGAGTTATGATGTATTTTATGATATAACTGGGGAATGTTCAAATTAGTTGCTGTCGTTTAATCCAACGTTCTAACTGTCAACTGTCTCAACAGGATCATAGGTTTGGTTATATATCTCCTCCCTGTCTCTATGTCTTAAGTTGTTAATCGGTAACTGCGGTCCAAATGTATCAACTTATTCATCTATTGTTGCAAACTTGACTGATTTAAACATATCTTATTGATCATGAACTACTCAGTCAGTCAAGCACCTGTATCAGAAATGTAAAACCAGCCATGTTTCATGTAGTCCCAATATCACTGAAAAATGCCGATGTAACGTGACAAATAAATTTACTCACAGACAATATATTTTTCGTGAGAGTGAAGCACAATTTTATTAAAGTTTTATTAACAATTTCATAAACTATAATAATATTAATATTAAAATTCATCATCACTTGCCAAGTTTATGAAAATGTCCCCATTTGGGAGATGTCACATATAAACAAGGATTCGAACTAAGTTTGATCGTCTTTGACACTGAGGTTTATCCCCACTTTGCCAGCAAACTGCAGAAGATTAACAGTGAGTGAGTGAGCATCGATTCTATGTTTATACAAGAAAAGATGTCATGCCAAAAACGCTCACAGTAGTTAGTAAGTAAACTCACGACCTGTCATGACCTGGTTGAGTGACTTCCTCAAATGAACGTGAAAGGATTACCCACAGAGAAAGAAAGGATTAAAGTCACCCATAAATCTTATCCTAACGTAGTACTCCAACTTCTAAATGCCTCTCAAAGAAGGATTAAAATCCTAAAGATATCCTATCTACGTGGTATAGGTACTCACAACCTCTAATAATAAACTGTTACGTTTGGTATCCCCAGCAATACTCACTATGGTAATTGGGCAAATGTAAAAATCACAAACCCTAACGAGATTCTGTCTACATGGTCACACCCGGTGATTGTGAAGATCTCAAATTTTATCAACTGTCAGACAGCATGGCTGTTAATATTCATTTACAACATCCTCTTATAATTAGTATAAAAGTGTCCCACTCAAAACCTTCTTTTATTTATTTTTCAAAATACAACACAGAAAGTTGGGTGTGGGGAAATGGGACATATTCCTACGTGAAATAATGAGACATTAGTAGTGGTGACGGCTATGTCATAATTGAAGTGTCTAAAGCATAAATTTGGCGAACGAAAAACGTTATATTTGCAATCAAATGGAATGACTCGTGTGGGCAAATGAATATGTTCGCAATCCACAAACAATTATTTTATTAATGGCGAACATTTACCAACCCGCGACAATCGTGTCAACACGGGGGTTTCTTAGCAATAAACTCGCATCTAAATTCACTACTGTTCTACTGTCGGCTAGCCACAACGGCTAGACTGGACCCTAGTGGAATGGTTCATGCCATAAAAGTCTAGCAACCGAACACTAATTAAGATGGGCCGACCTTGTATTTACGGTCTGGTGAACACAGCTCAATGGCCGCTCATTAACTCAAATTTCACATCTCACTGTTTTGTTTTATTTCACTATTCATTTGATAAATTTGTCAACTTCAACTGGAACCCGGGCCCGTGTTACACGCGTGGCACACGCGTGTGTAACGGGTTGCACACGCGATTCACACCCGTTGGACACGGGTGTGCAACGGGTGTGAATCGCGTGTGCAACCCGTTGAGCACCCGTGTCACATGCGTGTTACACGCGTTCTCAACGCGTGTTAGGGGAATGAACTTTTAGGCAGTAATGTATATATAGGCTAGGACAGTAACGGCCTGATGAAATGCGTGCTGAACTGATAATATCAGTCTGATACGGGATCCCTGCCAGTGCATTGCTACTGGTTTATGTGAACTGGTCCACTCATTCATTTCCTTGAATTATGATTGTTGTGTTTTCAAGAAAAAGTTTAAATTATATACATATGGGCATGTCATAGGTTTTTAGGTATTTGTTATCACATGTGTACTTGATACTGTAGGTCAAGGCTATATCATGACCCACCATTTAAAATTCATTACAGTAACAACTGTAACAATACAATTATAGCAATGTAGGTATTCCTAGCGCAACTTGCCTGGCTATGGCTTAACATATTTTCTTCATAAGTTTGAACATGTATACATAACCTATAGAGCATTGGTTGTTTGTGACAAGGGAACGGTGTAGCAAAATAGATTGGCCAGGAACCAGAGAGTGCATACATTATGTTTGTTTTTAAGGTCACCCATTTCGGGTCAGAATAAAACCCAGTACCTCAGGGGATTGGGTGGTCCGGGTCAGAATAAAACCCAGTACCTCAGGGGATTGGGTGGTCCGGCTCAGCTCTGTGGCTCAGCCCTGGTGTGCTGTGAAGTGCTAGTCAACAGCACTGTCACATGTTACCAATTTTAGACCAATGATGTAATGTTAGCATGGTGTGTCAGAGACTTGATGAATGGCATGACAATTATGTGTTTAAAAAAATATGTAATTATAATCCTCAATAAATATCATTATCTTACGCTTATAAAATATGTCAATTAAAATTAATTCAGAATAGAAATGATAAATATTATTAATTATGATTTCTATTTGTTTGTTAGTTTGTTTAATTTGTCATCATTACGAGTCAGTCCAGACATTGCTTCGCAGCTCGTGAAAATAAGGTTTTTACAAGAAGCAGGAAATAGGTTCTATTTAGTATTTATAGAATTTGTTTCGGTTCTGTTAATTGTTTAATTTGGCATCAGAGCGATGCCCTCACACACTATAACCGGGTCTATTAAGGGTTTAGGGATACACCGACCACCAAATTGTGTTTTTAAGTATTCGAAACAAATCAAACTGGTACATAAACAAAAAATAAGTTAAACAACCATTCAATATTCTCATAGACTGAATAATCTTACAGCTTGAAATCTTTCCTCAGTCAGAAGATAGTACAACAATGCTTAGCAATTTTCAAACAAAATATAATGGCAAAAGCATTAATCACGACCGACCCACCCACTGTGAGGACCCTGATGTGATAATATAAGTAAATAATAACCACAGGGTTATGTTTCTATAAAACCCCATCTCTCTCTCCCACTCTTTTCTCTCCTTCCCTCTCTCTCTCCCTCCCCTCCATTTCTCTCCCTACCCCCTCCTTCTCTCTCCCTTCCCCTCTCCCCCTCTCCTCCATTTCTCTCCCTACCCCCTCCCTCTGCCTTCCCCTCCCCTCCATTTCTCTCCCTACCCCCTCCCTCTCTCTCCCTTCCCCTCTCCTCCATTTCCCTCCCTACCCCCTCCCTCTGCCTTCACATCTCCCCCTCCCCTCCATTTCTCTCCCTACCCCCTCCCTCTCTCTCCCTTCCCCTCTCCCCTCCATTTCTTTCCCTACCCCCTCCCTCTGCCTTCCCCTCTCCCCCTCCCCTCCATTTCTCTCCCCACCCCCTCCCTCTGCCCTTCCCCTCTCCTCCATTTCTCTCCCTACCCCCCTCCCTCTCTCTCCCTCCCTCTCTCTTTCTCTCCCTTCCCCTCCCTCCCCCTCTCCCCTCTCACACCCCCCCCCTCTCTCCCCCCCCCCTTCTCTCTGATGCTAGGACTATGTTATATGTGCCTCCACCATACGACCAATGCTGTTTGACTTGGTAATACTACACAATTTGTTTCTATTCTTATCTAAGTTTAACACTATTGATTGAATTCGAAACAACAGTTTACACAACCAGAAACTAGGGTAGCTTTATAGCACAATTCAGTGTTCGGTGTATAGGTCAGCAAGCTATTTGTACCTCGTTTTGTGTTAGTTGAGACTATGAACACAGAACGCACAGACAGATTCTACTATATGTCAGTAATGTCTTACTCTTCATCAACACAAGCTACGGGGGATAACCCTGTAGACACAGGACGTACGGATCAATAACATCGTATCTGTATCCGTAAACAATTGTACTTGCAGTTATGCTTCTATTTCCTTCTATTCATTACGAACGTACCCAGCCATTATCTAAACCATTGTGATGATGTCTCGCTATTGTTCTTGGAGTTGATGCGGAGCCAGGAATTCAATGGCCATTCCGGAAGTGCGTTTTCAACCAAAAAACCTTTCTCAACTATAATTAAGCTACATTGTAGAGAACTTGGACATTATAACAATGTTGAACTTCCTGGGAATAACAGTTAAGCAGAATTCAAAGCGAAACTAAAAGCTCCGTTGACGTATGGTCTATAAATAACACAATTACTTTATAATTCATGAATCCACCATATTCGCGTTATATTAATGACACGACCCATTCATAAATATAAACAATATCATCACATATCTTCATCTGACTTACTGTCACTTCGGATTCATTAATAACATGTAACTTACGATTCATTTATATCATGTTGAACTCGGAAATAACTTCATGACTGAAAGAAATTAAATCATTAGACGCATTCAAAATGCCTCTAAAACGTGGAATCAAAACGACTAATTCTCAAACAAAAGAATAAGGATGTTATCGTTACAAGGGGAGGATACCACCAGATCGTATAGTAATGAATGGCCTTCCCATACAGGAAAACCCTGTTCACGGCTTATACCGGCTTATTTGATGTCTTCGTGCATATCATCGCCATTACAAGAAATGTCTCACCTCTAAGGACGCCCCTTGTCTCTTCGGGAACTTCGGGTACTTGCACAATAACAGAAAATCTTTAGCAGCGACTGCCTGTTTTCAGTATTGCAGTCACAGTATAATCGTTGCTTCAAAACGAAAGCGAAAGTAGGGATTTCTCTCCACGTAATATACTGCTTGTTCATGACTAGTTGTTATCGTCCGACGCCTGAGGCGATGGCAGCATGTTTGATGCTACTAGAACGTCCATTTGGCTTCTATTAAATGTCAATATTTTTACTTAGGGTAACTAATTTATTTTATATGACGTAATACATTTCTAGACAATGAAACCGGGGCATTTTTAAGCAAATACAACAGTATCTATGACAATACGCATAATATATGTGAATACTGACATAAGAAGGATTTTTTTCAAATCAACCTTTATCATTGCTGCGAGAGTAACATAAAAAATAAAACAAATAATTTCTGAAGCGATTACTTGCTTCAATTGTTTCAATACACATACTGCGCCGTGGGGACGTTTTCGTGATTTTACGTACGTATCGATAACCTTCAAGGGCGAATTTGTAGGAATTTGAATAGCATTGACTACATATTGGACAAAAGCCTTCGCGCTGCAGCTTTTAAGCTAATAACAGTATTAAGTGAACTTTATAAAATGACGGAATATCACGAGGTCTAGAGTACGTGGTTGTGATGCGTATCAATACCAATGCGCAGTAACTCTTACTGGGCTTTAGTGATCCAATGGACTCGGGTTCGATCCTCGTCCTGAACGTTATAAGGCCTTTTTGGTCACATTTGTGTCAACATATTTGTAATCTTGTTGGTAACTAAACGGGAAATACATGCATTTTAATTTATTGAGAGTGTGTTTACATCGTTTGGTTTAACATGGAATGTGTTGTACGGAGCCTGATACTGCAGTAATCTAGACTTGCCAAACGTTATTGACTTGCATGGGCTGTATTGGATATATTTGTATCAGGGTCTGTATGACGGACTAGGAGTGTCGGTATCTGATGGGTACTCCAGTACTTAAACATAGTTCGGCTTCAGACGGGCGTCACCAGTGAGCCAGGATATTCTCACCTTTTCGCGGACACGTGTTATCACTTCTTTTTTTTATAATATTCATTCATAAACAAATGATTATGGTATGATGGGAATCGTAAAAAATCGAACTGCTTATAGCAGATATTGCTTATGATAATGGAAATTGCTTTTAGACAAACCCGAGGCTGCCACTTCAGACTCCTGTACATGACCAAGGGAGAAAACTCCCCTATTCACTTCTCTAACACGCGTGTTGCGGACATGGAAGGGAATGGTAAGTACCTGGACGCTTGTTGACTTACAGGATGCTTAGTTAAAGATTGTGGATTGTGTGGCATGTTACCATGTGTTGTCTTGTTTCTTTACTTGCTGAAATAACTCCATAATTAAAGCAGTCCAAACATCCCTGCCTTCCGTTTCATTCGTTAACCATGATCAGATGTTAGTCGGCCAGTTGTATAAGTAGTAGGTCGATCTGTCAGATTGCGGTACATGCCCCGAGACAACAAGCACCACTACATTACATTTTTCAACGAGGTGGCTCACATGCATGAATGTTAGAAATCGGCTTGAACAAACTTCTTCTTTTTTAAACACAGGCATAAATGAAGTTTTTAGGCAGTAGACTGTGGTTGGATGCAAGGGATGAACTTTTCTGAACTTCAGAAACGCGTGTCACTGAACGTACCGAAGTTGTAGATAAAGGCTTTATTCGACCCCGAGCACCTGCTGACGCGTAGCTTTAAACAAGTCCGTCTATGGCATAGGCACGTCTCACCGTTGGTACTAAACCGGGAAAAAGAAAGCATAAACCCATGTTTGAGAGAAATGGTTATTCGATGGTGATGTAATTGAGTATCTTAGGCGACATTACTATGTATGCATCCTATAATGGGTATCACACAACAGGTGACTAGCACATGACGTCACAGGGGACAGATGGGGTCTCAGTTTCACAGTACACAGTATAAATGAGCAGAGTGAAGCAGGTATTGTCATGATCAGTTTGATTAGGTTCACATGTACCAGACATTCTCAATATCGAATATGACCACCGCGAGCACAAATGCACGCCCAGTCTCGCCGTTCGGAATCCACCACTCGCCCCTCAAGGCGACTTCCAGCTCGTGACGGTTCCGCGGTTGATGACGACGCCTCCTGATCTGACGATCCAGATGGGCGGCCTCGCGTTGTGGAGAGCGTTCCCTGTTGTTTTTGGGGAAGGAACGATAGAACGACACCCCAGACGATGTGGTCAATCGTTTCCCTGCGACGATTAACCGAACACGACATCATAAAATGAGTGAGTGTGTGTGTGTGTGTGTGTGTGTGTGTGTGTGTGTGTGTGTGTGTGTGTGTGTGTGTGATGTAAACGTAACTGTAAGTCGATTCATATGTAGGCCCCCTCCCCGTGAAAGTCCGTGGTACAATTGGTATATATCAACCCTTGCTTGTCTTAAGAGGCGACTAACGGGATCGGGTGGTCAGGCTCGGTTACTTGGTTGGTGCATGTCATCATATCGCAGTTGTGCAGATCGAGGCTAATCATGTCAATCACTGGATTGTCTGGTACAGACTCCAAGTAATAACAAACCACCGTCATAAAGCTGGAATATTGCTGAGTGCGACGTTAAACAACAAACAAACATTATCGCATTGGCAGTCACCATGCCTGATCTGGAAGAGTACTGGCCTCGTGACTTACTAGAAGCGAATACTTTTGATGAAAAACACTTATTCATCTGACTTGAGCTGCGTCGGATTATTTTGCCAGAATCACGAATACATTCGAATAAATGTTGACATGGTCTACTTGTGGTTGATTTACCTCAATTTGTTCCGTTTGCCGTAAAGCTACAAACGTTTGCGGTTGAAATCGGGTACTTGAGTCCGGGTTGGGTTTTAGGAGTCTATTTATTTACCGGCCAGAGCCCTACTATAGAGGGAGGTTCTAGCTATTTGTTAAGAGATTTCAAGTGAATTTTAACTCTGGACATTCCTCACTGTACAGAGTTGTATATTTCATAGTTTAGCAGTAACACGTTTCGTATTAAGGTGGAGTTTGGAAGGCACAATGCTATCCCTAAAGAGGACAGAAAACACAAACACGTTGAAGATGGATATATATTTTGTTTATATGTGAACAATATACCAGTATCCACAGTAACCTTTCCAACCGTGTAAGGAATTCTACACAGTTAATGAAAACTGAAGACAGGTTGATCCTTCATAACACTGGTATATTCTTAGGGGGCACGGGTGGCCCAGTCGTCTAAGGCGCCGCGTTCGCTGTGCAGAGTTGCGTCCCTTGGTCACGCCATAAACCTATGATTGTGGGTTCGAATTCCGGTTCGCCCCGATTATGTTACTAGGTTTGTCAGCACCATCCCCGTGCTCGTTGGTTTCACCGAAGTGGTAAACGTCTGAGGCCTGCATCACTTGGGGCTTTCCTCCCACATTAAGCTGACACGCCGTGATATAACTGGAATACTGTTTAAAGCGGCGTTAAACCTAACTCACTCACTCACTGACTCACTGGTATATACTTATCTCGGACGTAGTAATTTAGAAATACTTCTTCATGAATGTAAATACTTTAATTAAGCATGTATGGTGTATTTTGGGGTCTTAATGCATTGTCGGCCTCTAACGTATTTACTGAATAAAAATGTATGTCTGAATGTCTGTGTATTGTTAAGCCGCCTTAAATTCCAGCGTTTAAAAATATATATCGCTACAATAATGAGACGGAGACATGTTCAAAGACGGTACATGATTCTTGGATTGGCGTAAGCGATAGGTCCTGGCGATAGCATACATTATGTTGATGGCTCGCATCGAGGTTTGCTTGTTCTCTTTATTATAGTTCCCTTTATCAACTAAACAATTACAACTAAAAGAAGTTATGCACATTTGATTCTTTGGACACTGTCTGTTGGACACTGTACACAATATAATATTTTTCCTAAAATTTGGCACCAGCCCTGTTACAACCAATGAACCTGGGCTAATCCCAAAGCAATGCTTTTACAGAAGTGAAAGTGGTTAATTTTCAGTTTGAAAAATTCCGTTATTAAAAAATATGTATAATGAATGGGTATGTGCTTTAATATGATTGGTTGTTAAATGGGAGTTGAACCAGAACTATTCGCGACGTTTTACTGTATACTGAAATGGAACAAAATGACATTCGGCTTGGCAAAATAAATACCGCATTAATTATATATTCTACCATGAAAATGCATGATCTGATTCATCGATCAGAGGTTTTTACATAACCACCTCTGGTTGAAACAGCTGGTTTGACGGTTACATCCCCACAGAAACGTATTTGAAAAACAGTACTCCTTTCTCAATCATTATCGACTGGCGTTTTGAAATCATGCAATGAACAATGACTATAGGTTACGAAATTCAAAGTTTGGCAATATATTTTGCACAGAAATCACGACAGAAATCGATTGGGAGAGTGTATTTCAAGTTTAACAGAAAGCTTGAAATTTGGTCCTTTTCTCTAAATACATCTCTGTTGACTCAAATTTGAAAATGTCCTCCACATGTCTACCTTAAAACCTTTGAAAGCGTTACCGAGGCCTTGAATGCCTTGATCAAACAACAGTGCCAAGAGTCGTATGACGCTCTTTGAAATCCTGGTAGAAACCCACTGTGACGTCATATATTTTATGTAACAATGAGCGATGTGATGACACAATAGGCTTGCTTACTCTTATGTTGAGTGTCGACTTCACGCTGGCTTACCAATCAGTCGTGCTACACTCTTTCAATTTGTTTGTTTGTTGTTTTACTCAGCAATATTCCAGCTACATGACGGCGGTCTGTAAATAATCGGATCTTGACCAGACACTCCAGTGACTGATATCATGAGCATAGATATACGCATTTGGGAAACGATGACATGCCAAGTCAGCGAGCCTGACCACCAGGTCCCGTAAGTCGCCTCTTACGACAAGCATTGGTTGCTGAAGACCAATTCTAACATGGATCTTCACGGATCACAGACTTTCAATGCCTGTCATATATGCTGCTAAAGTATATGGTGTGTAAAATGTTGAGCATCTACAGAGC